CCAGAAGCATGGTCTTCGGGAAGCCGCGCTTGCACTTGTCACCGTGCTTGCAGCCTTTCTTGATGCAGTGTGTGAGCGGTTTCCCGTTGGGATGGTGGTGATGCTGGACCTTCGAGAAAATCATCTGCGCGTCTGCCTCGTAAGCCTGCTTGAAGCTGGCCGCGTCGGCGTCGCAGGCAACGGCATAGCACCCTTCGTCCCACTTCATCTTCGGCTCGGCATGGTCCATATAAGAGGGCCACCGACACAGACCTACGCGCTCCGATGCGCGGTGATTTTGCCGCCACTCGAACTCCAACGACGGAAGGTTATCCCAGTGCTCCTCGGGGGCCCAGTGCTCTTCCCTGTGGACCCACGCGTGCCACTCCTTCACCGAGTCCGCCAAGCCAGGGGGCTCCCGAATTTTCCTCGCGATCTCAGTCAAGGGCGCGTGCTGGCCCATGTTCGCGAGGTACACGAACCCGTGGAAGTGGAGCGCGCCTAGGTGCTGGTTCTCGACGGCGCCAAGTAGAGCCGCAGCAACCCCGAAAATGCCGCCCATGGGGCGCGAATTGGAGCCGAACTTGCCCGTGCAGCAGCACCGGGGCTGCCTGCGATATCTTCGCGCGACGCCGCACTCGGCGCACAACCGCGGGCCCAAGAGGCGGCCCAAGATCACGTTCACGGCGACGCGGAAGCCCTGAACGACCGAGAGAAGATCATTAGCCACTTCGCAAAAACGCAACTCGAAATCGGGAAGCTCCGCGTCGGCGCGCTCCGACAGTGAAGGCCGCTCCCGTGACGCCAACCGCTTTCTCATGGAATTCCGTGCGTCGTATGTGCACCCCGCGCGCAGCAGCGGGTCGTCCTGGCGTACTCTGTGCAGACGCATGACCAAGATGGCCCCAAGACGGCCCAAGACGGCCCAAGACGGCCCAAGCTATCCCCAACGGGGACCCATGAGGCCCCTAAGACGGCCCCAGGACGGCCTCAACAGCTCCAAGGACGGCCCAAGAGGGCCCCAAGAGCGCCTACAACTGCGCCTCCAGAGGCCGAAATCATTATTTCCCAATGGTCTCTGCAATCTTTTAGCGTTCGAACCTTTTTCGACTCTCGCAAATCAATGACGGCCCAAGCAGCTTCCAGAATCGCCCCAGAACAGCCCCCCCCCCAAAAAAAAACACCCAAGAGGGCCCCAAGACGGCCCAGGAGGGCCCCAAAACGGCCCAAAGAGGCCCCCAAGACGGTCCAAGAGGCCGCGAAGTCGGCCCAAGAGGACCACAAGAGGGCTCCAATGCGGCCGCGAGAGGCCCCCAATACAGCCTCCGAGGGGGCGAAACGGCGCAAAAGCGCCCCGAGACGGCCGAAGACGCCCCCAAGAGGCCCCAAGAGACCCCGAAAAAGCCTCCAAGAAGCCTCCCAGAAGCCTCCAAAAGGCCTCCAAAAAACCCTCCAAAAGGCCACGCAGCGACTGGAGTGTAATGTTATTTTCCCCCCTCTGGGCGAACTGCGGCGCAGCGCCAGCCAGGTGGAAGTTGGTCACTGCGGCGCCCATGATTAGAGCCGGCGCTGGAAGGGAAGATGGGGAGGGTGTATGAAAAGGAGGGAAGGGGGAAAGGCCCCCAAAGAAGTCCCCAAGAGGCCAAAAGAAACTCCCAGGAGGCTTCCAGGAGGCTCCCAAGAGGCTCCCAAGAGGCCCCGAGACGACGTGACTGCACGTGCTCCGGACGTGCACCCCGCGAAGCGAGAGGAATCCACGTCTGGGCTGCAGCGAAGCGTCCCGGCAGTCCGACAGGACGGGTATGTGACGCAATCGCCAAGCCACGAGACTTGCAAACCATTGTCAGAGTGAGGGGACCGAATGGTCATTCATTGTCCCTGGGTTCTTGGCTGCATAAAGCATCCGCGACCCAACCCGCGACCCACCCGCGACCCACCCCGCGACCCACCCGCGACCCACCCGCGACCCACCCGCGACCCAACCCGCGACCCACCCCGCGACCCACCCCGCGACCCATCTGCGACCCATCCGCGACCCACCCGCGACCCACCCCGCGACCCACCCGCGACCCACCCCGCGACCCACCCCGCGACCCACCCCCAAGGGAGGAAAAACCACCCGGCCCCAACAATTGACGTTTACTAAAAGGCTTTGGGCGTTGGCCAAGTAACCCTGCCATGTTCGATTCATTCCTTGTGTGCGTTTACTAAACAGTTTCGGTTGTCGGGGTGACTATTATGGGGTGGATGTTCTGCCTTCTATCCCCGCGACCCAACAACGACCCAACAGCGACCCACCCGCGACCCACCCGCGACCCATCCGCGGCCAATTTGCGACCCACCCGCGAACCACTCGCGACTTACCCACACTGGTTTAACGAGAATTTCGGCACCTGCGGCGGGCTCGTGCTATAATTTGTTAAACTCTGGCGCTTGCGGCGGGCTTCTCCAGAGTCTCGCAAACTGCCGACGTCCCCACCGCCCCCTCACTCTTATCCGCACCTGCGGGGTGCTACGTAGTCATCTATATTGAAAAATCCCCCCTCCGAATCACCCCCAGAGCCCGCGCCGAGGTGCCGACCCCTTTCGGTCAAATGCGCAAAAACCTACAATAACCCGAAGATAATCAATGATGTTGGCCTCTTCGGCGTCCTCGGAGTCCACGGGGGTGTCACGACGGCTCAAGAACGCTTCAAGACGGCCCAAGACAACCCCAAGACGGCCCAAGATGGCTTCACGAGGTCCCCAGAGGCCCCAATGACGACCTACAGGGCCCCATGACGACGCCCACGAACGCCTCCGACGTCTCGGTCAAACTTACAAGAACCTGCCAACACCCAAGGACAATCAATGATTTTGGAATTTTCGGCCTCCTCGGAATCCACCGAGCTGTCGCGACGGCTCGAAAACCCGTCAAGACGGCCCAAGACAGCCCCAGGACTGCCCTACATGGCCTCCAGAGAACCCCAGAACCCAAGACGCCCCAATGACGACCCAGGAGAGCCCCATGACGACGCCCTAGAATGCCTCCGACGTTTCAGTCGAAATTTCAAAAACACGGAAAACAATAGGAAATCTTGAGCACCTCTTCGGGGTCCACGGAAGCTTTGCGACGGCTCAAGATGGCTCCCAGATGTCCCAGAACGACCCAAGACGGCCCACGAGTCACCAAAACGACCCATGAGGGCCCCATGGGGACACCCAAGAGCGCCTCCGGCCTCTCGATTCAAAGTAGACGAACCTACAAAAACCATGGAACATCAATGATTTGGGCCTCTCCAGCCCCCCTCAGAGTCCACAACGTTGTCGCGACGGCTCACGACGGCGCTAAGACAGCGCAAGACGGCACCAAGACGGCCCAAGATGGCCTAAAAAGAGCCCACGAAGGCCCTAAGGGCCCCACGACGAAACCCCAAAGCGCCTCCGGCGTTTCGGTCGCCTTGACAACCCCGACAGAAACAAATGAAAAGCAACATACAGTTGTTCGCATCTTGTGCCTCATCGGAATCCACAGGGGTGGTACGATGGCTCAAGATGGTCCCAAGACAGACCAAGATGGCCCCACGACTGCCTATGATGGCTTCCAACAAAGCCCCCTAAAGCCGAAAACTTGAATTTTAAGTTGGCGATTTCACCATACTGTTGGGCAGACTTGTCTTCCGTGCAAATGCGACACTTGAAGAAGCAGCCCTCCGACCAGACGTTGGGCTGCGACATTTCGGGGGTGCATCCTACGCAAGCGGCGAGGTCCAGCTCCGCTCTTCCCGCTTTTGCTTCAATTCGATGTATATGCGGGCGCCGAGTGGCCCCCCAGGACGGTTCTCGAAGGAGCCAGACGACCTAAGAACGCCCGACAGTTGCCCGACGCACTCTAAAAAAATCCAGAAGACCCCCCCCCGAAGTTGAAGCCCACAAGAAACGTTCAAACACTCTAGGACGCTCCAAACACCTCCACCCTCCGCGGTCCGGACGTACACCCCGCGAATCGAGAGGAATCATAAGCTCAAGCTCCAGCAGCGAAACAGCGGCTCTCCGAAGGAAGCTCAAGGCTGAAGCTTCAAGCTTGCTCTTTTGAAGCTTGGCGTCCCAGCGTGCGCTCGACGACTGGGAACTGGATTACCTGCTGCGCGCAGGCCAACAGTCCTTGTCGATTACAATGCAAATTGCACTGTTCCCCGACCCCCCTCCCACTGGAAATGGAAGGCAAATTGAGGCCTTCGGGTTGGGTTGAGGTGGTATGGTGGGTGGTGACCTCCCCCATACCCCCTGCCCCTGGGCCAGGACAGGGGGGGGGGGGGGCGGGGCGCGGGTTGTTAGAACGTCCCAGAAGGCATCGGCAAGACGGCAACACTCCTTGAGTCTCCTTCGGAGGTGGGCCCGTTTGTGCCCCTATAGGGGGGGGTGCTGATTGAGGACCCCCCCCCCTGTCGCCACCAAGACAGCCCCAAGATGGCCCGAAATGCTCCCAAGAGAGCCCCTAGAGCGCTATAAGAAGCCCCAAGACGCTCCCAAAAGGCACCCAAGAGGCCCCCAAGCGGTCCCAAAGCTGACCCCGAGGGGCCCCCAGGAAGCCCCGAGGGGCTCGGAAGGCCGCCAAGAGGCCCCCAAGACGTCCCAAGAGACCCCCAAGAGGCCCACGAATCGCCCCAAGAGGCCTCCAAACAACCCCGAGGGACATCCCAATAGACTCCGAGAGGCATCCAAGACGTCTCGGGCCCACGGAGGCTCCCCGAACTCTCCAAACGATGCCGCGCTCCCCCGAGAAGGACAGCTCCCCCAGGCAACGTTGCTGGATGGGCTGATGGGGATAAGCGAAACGTGATGAATTGCTCAACGGCCACTTAAGTAATGGGTGGCATGACGGGATTTGGGGACGGATCCCGATCTGAACAGCAACCACGCAAGACTGATTGACGTGTAGACATATAGCACGATATACAGAGAACGCCCTGATGCAATCAAGAGAACTACCGACACACAACCGCCAACTGTGGAAACAACTCGCATCAACAAAAACGGACCTCCTGCGTCCCGCAACACTCCGTGCCGACCGCCCAGAAGTCGTAGCCAGCTCCCAGTGCGTCTAAGGGCGGCGAGCATCACAAGGACTGGACCGAAGCAAACCCGACACTTGGCATAGTGTGCCCGCGGCAACTTGCGCGCGCATGTGAGCCCATCATCTGAGAAGTACCCTGTGGCTGTCAAAAGAAGCCGCTGACTGAGGAGCCCTGGGACACGTAGCCAATGGATGGGCCACTCGATGAAGGGCTGATGATGTGTGTATCTGGTTTGAGGTTCTTGGGGTGCTTGCCCCCGCCCCCCTCCCCCCAAGGTGTGTACTTTCGGCACATCCCCACCGAACAACGGTCAAAGACGAGACTCGATCTCCCAATCTTCGCCTCCACGATAATCCGAGCGCGTGTAATCTGCCGATCCTCAGCCGACAGGGCAGACGCAAAGAAACCCGAAGACCAGACTGTTCAAAGAGCTGCCGTGGCAGATACAGAGCGAGCGGAGAGCAGGGCTGGCATCCGATGATGACTTCTGCGAGGCTAACATGTCGAAATACCCACCACCTTGGGAATCGATGTGCAGGACCCCGGGAGGCGGTGGACACGGATATGTGTGGGCCCTCGTGGCGCCCAGACATATCCGTATCCGCCGCCTCCTGCGGAAACTCCTACGGCAAACCGTCCATATGCGATGGGTCTGCATAAATCCCCAGTCTCGAAATGGCGGTGCCCCGACCACGCGCGGCATGGGACCGAGGTGCCCTGAAGAGCTATGCCTACTTCCACTTCGCTGTACAATTGACCTAACAGCTTTTGCTGATAGGTTTCCAATGGGATCAAAAGAGAGAGCATCTTGAGGCCCCAAGGGGGTCTGGGCGGGATCTGGACAGATCCGCACAGATCCGGCAGCCCCAGGAATTCTTAGGAATCCATTCCCAGAACACCATTCCCAGGCCACATTTTGAATGCCCGGAGCCAACTGTAGGCCACTTCGTGTTCTTCGTCTTCTCAGAACACCATTCCCAGGCCACATGTTGAATGCCCGGAGCCAACTGTAGGCCACTTCGTGTTCTTCGTCTTCCCAGAACACCATTCCCAGGCCACATTTTGAATGCCCGGAGCCAACTGTAGGCCACTTCGTGTTCTTCGTCCTCCCAATTCCCAGGCCACATCTTGATTGCCCGGAGCCAACTGTGGGCCACTTCGTGTTCTTCGTCTTCCCAGAACACAAATCCCAGACCACATTTTGAATGCCCGGAACCATCTGTGGCCCACTTCGTGATCTTCGTGTTCCCAGAAGACCTGTCCTGTGCCATATTTTGAATGCCCGAGCTGAAGCAGGCTGAGGCCGAGGCAGGCTGAGGCCGAGGCAGGCTGAGGCTGAGGCTGAGGCACGTCGAGGCAGTCTGAGGCTGAGACTGAGGCAGGCTGAGGCTGAGGCCGAGGCTGAGGCTGAGGCTGACGCAGGCTGAGGCCGAGGCAGGCTGAGGCTGAGGCTGAGGCAGCTGACGCTGAGGCTGAGGCTGAGGCAGGCTGAGGCTGAGAGGCTGAGAGGCTGAGAGGCTGAGAGACTGACGCTGAGGCAGGCTCAGGCTGAGACTGAGGCCGAGGCAGGATGAGGCTGAGGCTGAGGCAAGCCGAGGCAGGCTGAGGCTGAGGCTGAGGCTGAGGCAGGCTGAGGCTGAGGCTGAGGCTGAGGCTGCGGCTGAGGCTGAGGCAAGCTGCGGCTGAGGCAGGCTGAGGCTGAGGCTGATGCAGGCCGAGGCTGAGGCAGGCTGAGGCTGAGGCAGGCTGAGGCTGAGGCTGAGGCCGAGGCAAGCTGAGGCTGAGGCCGAGGCAAGCCGAGGCAGGCTGAGGCTGAGGCTGAGACTGATGCTGAGGCAGGCTGAGGCTGAGACAGGCTGAGGCTGAGGCTGAGGCTGAGGCTGAGGCTGAGGCTGCGGCTGAGGCTGAGGCCGAGGCAGGCTCAGGTAGGAATCCTTAGGATTCCCTAGGAATCCTTAGGAATCCCTAGGAATCCCTGGGAATCAGGACTCCTAAGGATTCCTAAGGTTTCCTATGGATTCCTAAGGATGCCTTAGGATGCCTTAGGAATCCCTAGGAATCTTGAGGATTCCATTGGATCCTCAGGCCGTTGCCGCTGCGACTGTCATTGCGAATGCAACTGCGACTGCGAGAACAGCAGATAATTTTCCTTCCCCTCCCACACCTCCGCTGCCGTCGCGAATCCTTCTCCTCGTCGACGTCGTCGACGCGGTCGTCGTGAAACCCGGATCGGGGCTCCAGCATGGCATCTTCCCAACGATTCTGACCATTTGTTGGCCCAGCGGAAGCCGATGGGAACCTCTGGAACACCTACTAAGACCTCAGCACATAGAATCTTGCAGAACAGAACAGAACAGAAGCCTTGCGCCGGCCACAGCGCGTGAGCAATGGGTGAAAATGTGCACGGAAACGGATGCCTTCAGCACGCCGCCCATGCTTTGACCGCCTGATCCCACCTGCGAGCTGCACCGCCCTCTCGGCGGAAGTAATCAGCAAGTCGCTCATGGGAGCCGGCAACATTCAAGCAGTTCTTCAGCACCATGGGCCCCCAAGACTGTCTCGGGCGGCCTCTTCTCCTTTTCCCAAGAAGGCTCTTGAGAACCAGACCGCCCGGCTCAAACACCGAGCTTCTGACTGGATCTTCGTCTGGTCTTCTCGCCAAGGGGGTCGAATTGGGGCAGGCTCCAGAGTCGCAGAGCACCGAAAGGGGGTCTTTGGAGGAAGTGTTCAGCGGCGCTTTGCTTGGAGGGCGGTCTTCAGCAGGAGGGGTTTGACATAGAGGATAGAGGTCCTTCGAGTGTGCGTTTTCGGGGGGGGGTCTCCTGGGGAGGTCTCTCAGGTTGTCTCCGGAAAGTTTGTTTTGAAAGGTGTTGCGGAGGGGGGGGGGGATCCGACTGCTGGGGTGGTGTCCGAGGGAAGCGTTCGCGGGGCGAGGGCAGCTGATTGTGCGTGGCTGCAGGGGGGTTCCAAGGAAGGTGTTCGCGGGAGGCGGGGGGTGGGCGATTGACGGGAAGGGGGGGAGGGGGCGGTCGGAGGCGTGTCGTGAGGCGATGCTTGGGCCACCTTGTCCGAAACAGGTGAAAGGCCGAACTGAAGGGGGGCGATTGAAGGGGGGGGGGAGAGGGCCGGAAGCAGGTGGCTGTCGGATGTGCTTGCCGAAGTGCTGATTTTTCTGTCTGCGGGGCCCTCGGCCAGTTGGGCCCGAACGGGCCCCGCGCGGCGACCGCGGAGCGACCACGGGGCGCACGCGCGAGTAGAGAGCACGAGGGCGACGAGGGAGAGCCGACTCACCGACGCATCTGGGGCGGCATGCGATGAATTCGCGGAGACGCGCGGCGGATCCGCTCACAATCTTCCGTCTCGCTGTCAGAACTTCTCCCTTCAACGGTTCCTCTGTCTGTCCGTAGGACCTTTGTGATTTCGACCTGTAGAGCGAAGTTGCGCTGCCGAATGCTCTCCAGGCATCCAGCAATGAACGCTCTCTGCACATCTTCGTCTTCCACAAGCTTGCCCTGTGTGGTGCTCTGGTGGGCTGAAGTCCTCGCGATCAGATGCTGCTCAATGTCGCATGCAGTTTTTCTTTTGCTGGTTGGAGATGCAGGCTTACCAGGCCTGTACTGTCCACGGGACTCAGGTATTGGTGCGACATGCTGTTGACGTCCAAGAGGTGCGTACGATGCTGTGCTTGCCGATCGCAGCGCTGGTATTGTAGTAATGCGATCTTTGTTCTCTTCCTGAAGCTGGGTAATCATGTTCATTGTGTCACCCATCTCCTCAAGGAGACCTTCGACCTGGCTTTTCCACACTTCGTCCTGGAGAATACGCTTGAACCAGTTCTTCTGATCCCCAGACCAAGATACTAGAGTACGACTTCTTATGAGCAAATGGCCTAAACCACCATTTCTGTTCGACTCCTCCCCGTAAGCGACCGTTTGGATACAGATCAACTGCCCTCTCATCCAGCTGGCGAAGTTGGTCATATTTGAGAAAAGCTCCACTGGAAACGGTCTCCGCCAACACCTCTGCTCGTAAGCAGCCTCGCTTGCAAACGTCTCTGCCCGAGAGATGTAGCTGGCGACCACGTCATAGTCGGCGACTTTCAGCTTTGTATCTTCCGGGCTGCTGGTGAACAATCCTCTCAAACTGAGCAGGCACGAGTGCCATGCTTGCAAGTATTCCTCATAGGCTAGTTCGGAAGGGATTCCCATGCTGACTATGCGCTCCGTGAGGGTCATGATGCAAATTGCAATCAAAAAATTTACTAACACTTGGGCGTTAATGAATACGGCAGTTTCGTTGTCGCAGCCTTGGAGGAATGCCTCAGTCCCGAATGCTGCGGCCAACATACCGATGGGGCTGAATCGTGAAGTGTAGTGATACACCGTGAGGGTGATCAATACATGCACGAAGACGACTATTGCCATACTGATCTGTGCTACTGGGTAACACCACCCCAAGAGTGCGTAAGCCAATTTTCCCAGAAACTTTCCGAGCATTATTCCTGTCAGCCGATCGAACATGTTGGTGGTGGGCGAAACAACAGAATGAGACAGGAGGACGGCGATTTTCGAAGGGATGGTCGCGTCCTTCGCAGTGATGACATGACCATAACCAACGTAACTGATCGAAAAGCCAGCAAACATCGCAATAGAGATTCGAGCCACGAACTTTATGTTATTTGCGGATGTTATCTTGCTCATATCAACGATCTGCATGATATCCGCCACCGTGCTTGCACGGAGTGGGCGTGCTTGAACGCAATTGTTTTGCCTGGTAAGATTGAATTAGTCTGTTCGAAAGCCGACCCCCCCTTGACGCAAGCACTGTTCGAACGCCACCCCCCCTGCATTTGCTCTCCTGCTTTCTGTTCGGCCTCCAGACGGCCAGGATGGCCTCCAAGACGGCTTTCAAGAAAACCAAGATGACACCAAGGCGGCCCAAGATGGCCCAAGACCGCTCAAGAGGCTCCCATGACGGTCTCAAGACTGCCCAAGAGGCCTCCAAGATGACCCAAGAGCCAAGAGGGCTCCAACAGACCCTCCAAGAGAGTCCCAGGAGGCGAACACCATTGATTTTCTGACAATTGCTGAAATATTGTGAGGTTCTCGCCTGTCTGGGTTTGCGACTGCCCAAAGGTGGCCAAATAGGCCTCCAAGATAGCCTCTCCAGAGGGCCCCAAGTCGGCCCAAGATATCCTCAAGAGGCCCCCAAGAGGCTCCAAGAGGGCTTCAAGAGGCCCTCAAGCGGTTCCCAAAAGGTCCCTAGATGCCCAAAACGATTCCCGAGAGGCACCCAAGACACCCTAAGAGACTCGGAAGACCGCCAAGGTCCCAAGGACGTGCCAAGAGTCCTCCGAAAAGGCCCCCAAGGGGCCCGAAAAGGCCCCCAAAAAGCCACCAGGATACCCCCAAGACGCCCTAAGAGGCCCCGAGAGACATCCCACAACACTCGAGTGGCATCCAAGAGTCCGCTGGCACACGAAGAAGGCTCCCCGAGCTCTCCAAATAATGCCACGCTCGCCCAGCAAGGGCAGCTCCCCTGGGCATCGTTCCTGGATGGGTTGGTGGGGATTTTTTTTGTTTTTTTTTTTTTTTTGTTTACAGCCGCGGGCGGAAGCGCAGGCGGCGGCAGGTTAAGGTCGGGCTGCGGCCGTAACTAATTGGCCGGGCGCGCGCGCGGGCCGCGAGTCAGGCGGCGGTGCAAGGTGCTGCAGCCCAGGGAGTCTGAGGGCCAGATTGGCACCCTGGGAGCAGTAATTACGCGGCCAAAATGGCGCGATGCACACCCCCAAGTCAGGGGTCGTGTCCGAAACCGAAGACCTCTGAGCAGTGGGGACCTCGACCTCGGTGCAGGAAAGGCGTCAGAAAGCCCAGGGTGTCTGCCAGGCACGAACAGGAACCGTAGACGCGAGAGCTGACGCCAGACGGCATCCCGCAAGAGGTAAGGACTCTGACAGCGCCAGCGAACCGTCGCAGCTTCAGAGTACGCACCAACGCGGCCATAAAGGCGCGACTTGTGGTGTCAGTAGCCGACCGAGGCACGTCGGGCTCTCAAGACAACCGCGAATAGATGCGTTCGCAAGCGAGTCATCAACAACATGATGTGGCGCAGTGCGAAAGGTACAACTGTTCCAATCCTCGGCACGAGACACAGGCGGCCAACCGAAGATGACAGGGCGCGTACCAGGGAGCATCAAAGTGACATACACAGAGCAGCCTCTCCTTAATACCCTGGCGTGCCAGATGAAAAGTGGCGAAAGCGCTCTGGGAAAGCTGTGCTGCCGCTTACCAGCTGCAGCCCAAGCAACCGCCCGCAGTCACGAAGAAGCCCAGGAAGTGACCGCTCAACCAGGTAAAGTCGGGGAGCGACGATGGGATGACGCCAGTGCACACGGATCCTGGCGGTGAGCGGGGAGCAAGCGACACTAGCCACAGGTGCGGGCACGGCCTTGGGCCAACCGCTGCCAAACTGTGGCACGTGCGCGTACGGAAGCGCAACTGCGACCCTTTGTCCGAGTACGGCCACAGCGTCCTCCAAGTGGGCACTCCAAGTCACCGTGTCGGAAGCGTACCTGACCGGCCCGGAGGCACCGCCTGGTCAACGTTGAAACCCTCTGACGATAAGCCACCCGCCCAGGGTCGCTCCCAGGGGAAGGCGGAGAAGCGCAGCTGAAGGCCGCTGTATCTTGAGAAACCCAGGGAGCGAGAGCGCGGTTCTGAAGGTGACGAGGCGAAGCCATCTTTGCGTCGGTCACAGAGCCGCGAGGCCGGGGCGGCCATGGCTTGAGGTGAAAACAGCTACAGCATGGCCAGGGGCCAACTATGGCTACACGCAACACGTCCCAGCGTAGTCATGCAGACGGTATTGCTGGTACACGCACTGGGGTCCAAAGGCAGGAAGTGCACGTGCCAAGGAGGGCGGCGGAAGGCCGCCACAGGAGTATATAAGTCTGAAGAGCAGCTGAAGGCCGCTGTACGTTGAGAAGGAACCCAGGGAGCGTGAGCGCGGCACGGGCCGAGACGAGGCGAAACCACCTTCCGTCGGCCACGTAGCCGCAAGGCCGGGGACGAAGTCCGACCGGGCCAGAAGTGAGAACAGCTACAGCGGGGCCGTGGGCCAACTAAGGCCTGCACGCAACACTCCCCCGCGCTGCCATGCAGATGGTATTGCTGGTAGACACATCTGGGTCCAAAGGCAGGAAGTGCGTGCACCAGGGAGGGTGGCAGTAGGCCGCCACACAAGTTGAGAAAAGCCCAGGGAGGCAGCTGAAGGCTGCACAGAGTGTGGAAATCGGACGCTACACCTGAAACTCTAGGGGATGGGAGGGGCGGGGGGGGCTCAGTCGCCCCACCGTTGCCCCTTTTCGCCACGATCGTCTGGCCTGCCGCCACCATGTTTGCCTCCTGACTGCCACCGGTCGTCGTGCCAGCCAGCGCTCCAGTCACTCTGCCAGGTGTCCCAGGCGTCCCAGGAGCTCGTTGCCCGGTCGTACCAGCTGTTCTGCTGGTGGTTGCCCTTGCCCGTGCCGTCGGTCCTGGTGTGGCGCATGTACTCGGCCCGCACCGTTGCCCAGTCGATGGTGGGGATACGCGACGCGTTGCAAATTCGCCGGGCCCATGGGCCGTGCTAAATCTCCGGCGAACGGTTCAGGAATGTCTAGCTCGCACGCGCGAGGCGGCCCCTGCGGGTCGGCGAACTAAAGGAACCCTGGCCGGGTCGGGGCCAGGAATGCCGGAACTCATGGGCGCGGCCAAGTAGGTGGCAGGCCTCACTGCTTCAGGCCAAGAGCGCGCCAAGACGGCCAAACATAATTTCCAGGAGCCCAGAGGCGCCACAAGCGACGCCAGGAGGGCCGCAAGAGGCAAACATCTGTGACTTTGCTGGCTGTTCTTGCTAATCTAATCATTGCCGCCGTTGTTGGCTTCTGACCGCCCAAGAAAGCCAAGGAAACCGCCCAATTCGCCCCAAATCCGCCCAAAACGCTCCAAAACACCTTGTCGTGGCGCTTGGAGCGCGCCGGAACGAGTGCACCAGAATGCTTGCCCCAGCTGTCGGCTGAAGCCCCACACGCCGCCAAGCTGGTCCCCGGCAGGCTGCGCTGCCTGGCGGAAGGGGACGAGGACGGCAGAAGCAGGCAGACGACGACGAACGCGCAGGCGGGAAGCCACGGTCGGAGGGGCGGGCGGGCGGGCGGAAAATGGGCCCGGCGGAGACAGCAGGCAGGGAGCAGGAGGAAAAGCAAGGAAGGGAAGCAAGGAAGAGAAGGAGAGGGGAAGCAACCGCAAGCTGACAGGCGAGACCAGGGGCAGGGAGAGCAGGGCCACCCGCGACAAGGCTACGGACCCTACGGCGGCTCTACTGACCAGGCGGCGCAGGCGTAGCGGTGGAGTGGGCGGTGGGCGTCCGGGGGGGGGGCGTCGGCATCGTCTGGAAGGGCCGTCGAGGTCGTCCGGGGGCGGCAGTGCAGGAGTGGCTGGCGGTCGTCGGGTTCGTCGTCGGGTTCGTCGTGCTGGAGTGGGGCTGGGTGAAGGGCAGGGCGCGGGACTGGGCGTCAGGAAAGACGTCGGAAAGGGCGTCGGGATCGTCACGGGGTGCTTGGCCGAGCCCAGTTCGCTGCGGCTCGGTGGGGATAGCCTTCTGCGGGATCCATCCACTGCCCCGCCGAGGAAGGGGCGGATGGCGGAGGAGGGGGGGGCGCTCGTGCTGCCCAGCGAAGAGGAGGGGGGGGCGGGGGGCGCTAAGCAACGCCAGGAAAACCTCATACGGCGTCCACCGCGAAGGCCGCCGCGGCCGCGGCCAAGCGGGCCGCGGCCACCCCTGCCCCTCCAGACTGCGTTTCGAGGCGCCGCAACGCAGCCCGCGCGTTCTCCCTATGCCAGAAAATCGAGTCGCTGGGCGAGTTGGTCCGCTACCACAACGGCGTCTTCTCCCGTGGCGTCGGCCGCCAGCTTGGCCAGGACCCCGAAAGCCCTGCGTGCCTCGCGGCCCCACCCGCCGCAATGGGCTTCCACCACCATGGGGAGGAAGGTGAAGCCCTGCGCCGCGCACTTTCGCGCGGTGTCCTGGTGCTGCCTCTTGAACTCCTCGTACCGCTCCGTCGGCGCACTTGGCGAAGCGGCCGAAGCGGCAAGGAGATCAGCGCGCATCCTGGACGCGGCGGCAAAGTCCCAGGCCGCCGCCGTGCTGTTGCGCCACCGGGGCAGGTAGACGTCGGCGGGGAGGCGGTCGTTGTCGTCCACCTGGGGCCCGCCCTGCTCACCTCTGGGGGTGGCCTTCCCTGGCGGGGCACGGGGGTAGCAGCCCCAGGCGCTCCAACTCCGCCCCAGCGTGGCCGCGGCCAGGGCGTCGAAGAAGGCCTGGTTGCGTAGGGCGTTGGGGCGCTTGGTCCAGTCGCCGCGGCAGGTGCAGACCAAGGCGTGGTCGCAGAAAACGTCCATTTCCTCGCCACGCGCTGCGAACAAAAAAAACACACTCCTCTTCCAGAAACTGGACTCGCAGCCGCCTCTGCATGAGGCCGTGCGGGAAGGCGGTGCCAGTGGCCTCGCAGGGCGGCGCCTGGAACCACGCGCCGGCGCCTGGGGCCTGCACCAAGGATAGGCGCGCTTTGCTGGCCAAGGTGGAGTCGGCCAGGAGCCCGTCGAGCGCGGCGACGTCCGCCGCGTCGGAAAAGGCCTTCTAGTCGCCGTGCCGCTCGTGGTCAAACAACACCCGGTCG